AAGTGCAGTAAAAAAAACACTAACCAAAATTCTTGTGGTGCACAGGGTCATTCAACCCTTGCATAAATGGACCAAGAACAAAAGACTCAGGTAGAGCTTTAGCACAGCTTCCGTAGTTCTCCCATTCGATGCCCAGAAATGACTCCATTATCAGGCATCTAACTGTCAAACCATCGAAGACACGGGGAAAAGAGATAAGCCACTGCACACTAATTATTAATAAGCTGTACTCTAACTGGAAATAAAAATAATCCACTTCATTAAATAAATCATCACCACACATGATATTCTGACAGATAATTAGCAAACAACTTCATCTATTACATTCACTAAACCTGCATATCACATAAAGCTACTACCTTGAGGATTATCATGAGAGAAACCCCTTTCCCACAAGACTGACAACCAGTTAGAAAATTCGCCGGAAACAACATTACAACCAGTAGCTTCATTGCCAGAGTTTCCAGAATTGTAATGTGAGCCACAAAAATGAAGCAACGAGGATACCTGCAAAAAACCTATAAATCAGCACTGATTACCAAACAGCAAACTAGTCTGATGCAAGCCAAAAGTGATAGAAAACAGCAACAAAGGTATAAAATTAGCATAGGCAAAGTCAAGTTTATTGCAGACATGAAAGAGCAACTTCACTGGAAATTCAATCACCAGAGGAAGACAAATTTACTGGGATAGATATATTAAGGAAACCAGGAGAGGAGGTAACAGCAAAAAGGACGATAAAAGTCAATGGCTTCGCTTGTTAGGTCAGTTATGTGCATAATTCTTGAGAATTACTAAAACAAAGTGGTGTCACCCAATAAATGGGGGATACACCAGAGACAGACAGAGTCTTGATAGAAGGTGTAGAGAGATAGAACCACCAATTGTAGAACTGTATCCAAGTAGAAAGCATTAAGAACCAACTGACCTGGTGATTCCAAGCTGCTTCAACCAAGTGAGTGCCGTATTCTTCGAGCATCTCATAAAGCAGCAAGAATGCCTCCCACTTCCACCTACTGTCAGGTAGGGATTCAGACAAATTGCACTCTTTCCCTACGCCTAGTGACCTGGCTTCCTTAACAGCCCATTGCTCCCGCTTTGTCAGAGATCGTGTATCGGACTGCTTATCACATGATTTTTTATCTAAACCACCAAAGCAATTCCGGTCCTCCTTATTCGTGCCTAGAGCAATCTTCAATATATGTAATGACTGTTTCCTCAGAAAACCTTCCTTATCAACCTAACCAGAACAAAAGTAAATGAGAACGATAGGGAAAAGAATGATGCTACTGCACCATAAACATGTTCAGAAATGGAACAAAAGTATAGCTAGTACCAAGCCTCTTTTCATTTCATCCCAAAATTCTTTTTCACCCCTGATATCAAATTCTTTGTCTCCATGTTTGGTGTCACCATGACCACTTTTCTCTGTACATGCAGAAAAAGACACATAAAGAGAGAGAACACGGTAGGCATCTCTTCTCTCTAAATATCCAAGAAAAAACAGTGTTCTGCAACACTTCCAAATTTTTTCAGAGAAAAGCCTCCTGGATGACGAACAACCAAAATGTTAAAACTGGAAATGAAAAGCGAGTGCAGAAAAATCATATTGCAAAATCATGCAATAAGATAAAGCAGTAAGACATCAGCACCTGGAAAGTACACATATATCCCCATGAACTGTGATCTTCAAGCAGCTGCAAGTCAAAAATGCTTTGAAAATTATGGGGAGCAAGAGTAGAATCGCACAAGACCGATGTTCTGAGCTTAGCAGAAGCAATTGCTCAGCCACATTGCAAAGATCGTAAAGCAAAGCACCAGTAAACTTCTCTTCATAATACTCGTTTTCCAACTTCATTTCTGACTTTACAGATGCTTGTTCATTTTGTAGAGCAGCATTCAATAGTTGAGCAAGAATGTGACACGATAAGGTTAACGTAAGAGACCCAAAGCAGGAAAGCTTCTTTTCATCCTCAATTACTGAGTTTGTTACATTGTAATCATCATGGATTGAGCAGGTTCTCCATTCAACACCATGTGACCCGGGTTTCTGAGACATCCCTATGGAGAGGCCAATGGATCTTAGAAGAAAAGGTACCAACGTGACCTCAACAACTCTCCATGCGTTTGTCTCGGTCACAACTTCAAAGAACGAATCCCCAATCTTTATGACAGTATGCAAAGCAAACAAAATAGCACCACTCAGTCAAATGAAGAGATACACTAGAGAAGAGAGTAAAATCAAGACTAGTATGTACTGTTCCTACCTGATTCTGAATTTCACAGTCGAAAGCGTGCACCGTCTTCATGAGAGGAATGAAAACTCTCCATACATAAGACCGCAGAACATCATGAGTAACCCCTGTAGAACAAATAAAGTCAGCAAGCCAATCTCACGCTTTCTTCCTATCTATTACTTTTACCTGACTTTTATAAAGGACGAAGAACAAGTGGCATTCTCGGCCATCCATCCTTTTCCTTCACTCAGTGAAAAGTTTAAATTAATTTACCCCCTTCCATTCTTTGCTCAAAATGTACTTTTTCATTGCTTGACATCCCTTCCATCTTAATCCAAAGTTCAAGGCCAATCCATGTTGTAACTTTGTTTTTAAAGGATACCAACCAAAAATATTAAGATTTTGGATTTCAAATTGTTGACATTGCATCAAAGGTAAAATTCAATTTGATATACTCAATTTATTTTTTATTCTATGTGCAGATTCTTGTTCATCTTACCCAGTTCTTCAACTCTACATGCCTTTCATCATCAAAACTGCATGTGAGAGAGAGTTAGAGCTATCCCCCATATCTTGCTTATGATACTATCTTGACCTTATATGCATAAACCTGCCTCAAATAATAGGTCAATTCTCGGTTGGAATTCTTTGACACATTTCTTCCCACATTATCCCTTCATCGACGTTGAATGGAGGAGTGCAAATACTTAGTCCATTATGCTGAGCGGCCCATCATTTTGACTCATTCCTTATCCTTTCCATCACAACCTAAATTCACCTCATTGACAAAGGATCTAAACATGCCTTCCAATGCCATGTTGAGCTAACTGGAGCTCCGATTAATAATATGGAATGGTATATCAGTATATGCCGGGTATACAATATCAGAGAAGCTGAAGAAGCAAGGTGAACAGATTTTTTAATAATATATTTTACTTACACAGATTGTAACAGCACCTAGCCAACATTATAAGAGTGCTTATTCAGGTCACTTTGCAAATTCATCAGGATTTCAAGGATCCATTGTAATTATGGAGCATGAAATGCAGAAGATTGACAGGAAAGCAAGTCTAGCCCCACTTCATTTCCAAGTGAACGAATACAAGTAAGGTTACGGGTAGCAGCCCCGTCAACAAGATTTATGCAAAAACAGACGCTAATAGGTAGCGAATGACATTTGCCTTGCGCTGACAGATGTCATGACAACTTCAAGAACACTAAACAAAGTCAAAATGATTCACGTGGTGTCGAAGGATTAAAAGAGCCAACAACAAGCGAGAACATCACGCAATGTTTCCTTCATCGGACAAATGCATACAGCATCTGGAAATGGAAGTCAGGACCGAACTCACCGCGCTTCTTAAGGAGATGACACAGTGCACACACCAGAGACGCAACATAATTGCGGGCCTCGGAGTCCAGATTTTCACCGTCCTTGATAACATCCTAACAAAATTAATCACAGACAACAAAATCAACCAGCTACTCCAATGGTTTCGGGCAAAGACACAAGCTAGACGGGCAACTCCAAGCTCGCGCGAGACGGCTAACAACCACCTCAAAGCTCAAGCATTTAACCAAAAACGCACATAGAAGACAGTTAAAATCAGCAACCAAACAGTTGCAGCTACTCCGCCAGACGAAGCAGAAACTTCCGACTCCGCTAACAAAGACGCATTCAAACCCTGGTCCCACAAAACCTCACGAACCCCGCTAAGAAGTCTATTTCCGTATAGAGAGATTTGGTGATACCTTGGTGAGATCATCAAAAGAATCGAGAAGCGAGTTGAGCAGCGACGAAGAAGGCGTCCCGGTCGACGCCAGGATGCAATCGAGCAGAGGCGGGACAGCCGCCGGAGGCACCCGTCTGAAGCTGTCGGACAGCGAGTCGACGACGGCGTCCGCCGCCGCCGCAGAGCCGCCGCTCTCCGCCGCATCCATTTTCTCGGCTGAGCTCAGCTGCGCGCGGGGTCAAGTCGGCGGAGGTTTTCAAAGGTGTACGGTGTTCCGGGAAAGAGGCTTATGCTTAAACCCTTCATTGTTCGGCGAAAGAAATGCTTAGGCCCATCCACCAAAGAGATGCTGACGTGGCGGCGACGCGATTTATAACTTTAAAAATAATTGAGAAAACATTAGAAAGGTCGGTTTTGCCACGTAAGTAAGTAGTAAGACACCCTATTCAACGCTCGACACATGTTCAGGTGGGCTCCACTAGTCAGTCTCTTTTGTCTCTCATCTGCTCCTTGAATTTCTCTCCTTCTTCACTGTTTCTTTCTTTTGTTCTTTTCTTCCTGTCTTTCTCTTTGGTCTGTGGCTGGTACTCGGCCGTTCGGCGACCGGCTTGGCCAACAGGCTCCACCCTCGTCGATTTTGCGAGGGCGAGGACGAAAAATCAAGGAGTGAAGTGACGACGGAGGATGAGCTGCCGGTGAAGAAGCGATTGGACAGTCAGGTGGTATCGAAAGTGTCGGTGGAGTAGGTGGCGAAGCCGTAATCGATATGGAAGAAGACGTTGCCTGTGCAAAGGAGAAGAAGGACGATATGGATGGGTGAAGGCGGAGGTGGAGGCGAGAGGGAGAGAGATGAAGAGACAAAATTGGAAAAATAGATCCCATTCGGACACGTGACGATCAATGAGTGGAGTGTCTTATCGTCTACGTGACAAGACAGTCTTATCAAAGTAATTAGCAATAAGATGATTAGGTTAGTAATTTACCAAAAAATTTATTAGAAAATTACATTATAACAACTATATAAGTACAAAACAGTTATAAATATAAAAAATTTTATTATTCCATCGTAATTCTTAAACTTTAATCTCAATCTTCAGGTGGGTTAAATCGCAATTCAACGTACGCAACCAACGTTGAACATTTATTCCATGCATGCATTACCTAACACAAACCACCTCTTATTTAGACAGCCAGAGTAAACTAAAAGCTCCATCCATCAGCTTTTCCAACCCATTTCCATGTTGAGCAACTTGTGATCAACGCGCCGATTCACTTTGTGCCTCGCCGAGTCCCCGACGACGACGCTGCTTCTGCAACCCTCGCTTCGGAGGTTTGAACGGGAAAGGCAGCGGTCGCGGGGATGTATCCTCGGTTTCCCTGAATCATCAGCGTGTCCTTTCTCATCGACGACGCTCTCGCCTCCTCCCGATCGAAGAGATGTCGCCCAGTCGAACTTCTTCCCTCTCCGAACAATTGTTCCGTGCTTACTATTATTAGCATGACAGTTTGAATTTGGCATTGCCGAGGCCATGCAAGGCCGAGGTTTATCTCTCTTGGCCTCTCTCTTGGTTTCTCTAATCTCGACCTTGGTCCCTCCTTCCATTTTGATGCTTATATTCACCTCCGAGACCAATTTCTCCTCGACTCGCTGTCGATCTTTCGTCGCACTCTGTACGGATTGCGACGCTCTCGAAACTCTCTCCTTCTTGTGTTGGTAAAGCCGGTGGAGTTGCAGAGATAGGCGATATATCCCATCCTTGATTTCCTCCTCCAAATCTCGCTCCACGTCGAGCTCAAGTTGACCGCGAATCCTGGATTCCTCATCCGATAATGATAATCCTGCTCCTAGAGATGCTTTCTTTGGGCCACGGTCGAGATCAACCTGAAGAAAACAAAAATGCAGTTCAATGTGCAAACATCTACTTAGTAAATATATATACTCGGACGCCCCCCGCATTCTTCCTGGACTTCCCTAACATTTGCGCAGAAATGTATATTGCTCCAAGTTTCTGTGCATCGTCTTGTTAAACTTTACAATATTACAAAGTTTTCATAAATATATATGATGTTGTGTGTCGTGATCGTCCTAACAACAACATACGGTCATGTCCGGTGTCTGCACGGCATTTACAAACATTGAATAGGTGATATGAAACTGTGAAGGGAAAAGATGGGTCCATATTCACCGTCGAGCCACGCGACGCATCGAGTCGCAGAGACTGATTCACGAGCTCCATCGGGATGACGCCGGACAGAGAAGAAGAATCTGGAAATGCGCAGCAAACTCGACATGATAATCAACGAAGAGCTACTGCATATGATTAAACAATCCAACCAAAATCGAAGAACTGCAGATACACTAAACCTGTAGAACACTCCTTCCAAGTTGAAGCCTTTTCTGCGATGTCTTGCACCGTCGTTTCTGCGTTATCTGGGACCAGAGCTCTTGCTTGCATGTATATATACAGTGACGAGAGTGAAGTAGACAGCTCGGGATGGGGCAGACTAGTCCAGTTGTGACGAAGAGGACGTGAGATATAACATGATGTCGAGAGGGATGTAAGAGAACCGTTAAGAGGCGTTATTTCGGTTGGTTTGAGTCAGATTAGGGGACAAATGTGTCTAAGTGTTGATGTGAAATTAGAGGGTCATACTGCACCATAACTCTGCGTGTGCAACTACGAAGTGAGAACCTCCAGTGCTTTCCGTGGAAGGCCATCAAGAGCTTTGGGTTGGCCTTTAAGCACAATCAAGGTAGGATGGGGACAACCCTCACGTGTTTGATGTGTTCCAGGTTCTTGCGATTGACAGCAACATTTCTGCAGGAATTTCCCCCAAATGGTGTCTGATTTACAAGACGATTGTAGCATTCTTTCGGGAGCAGTATGGGCTGACGAGGCATGGGGTCATATCGGAATCGGGACCCGAAGGAAACTCGGGTCACCCGCGTCAGTTTTGGGTACGAATACCCTTTTCGCGGCGCATTCTAACTATGATGCAGCTCTAATATGATTAGGATCCATGTTCTCGTGTAGGTTGAAGTGAGGAAAGAAAATCGAGAGCATCGGATCTCGGTTTAGTTCTACTTTGCCCTCGTCGAGTCCCGTTCAATATCTCGTTCCAGAGCAATGCATGAAGTGAAGCGCATTACGAGTGCCGTATGTGTTTAAAAATCTCACATGAGAGTTTGATCAAAATAAGTCGCTCGAGAAATAAGTGACCTAGAGACCATCCCGCCATTAGTCCAATTTTTTATTTTCTATAGTTGATTGCATTTGCAAGACCTAGCCAACTCTGTTATTTATTTATCTATTTATTTATTTTTGGGTGGACTGGCTAACTCCGTTTTCGTACGTGTTTAATCATTTTACAATTGCGCCAAGACAAGGGTAGTGTAATAGAAGGCCATTCCAAAAACCTTCAACTTTACATTTGTCCCAAATATATCTTCAAACTTTTTGTCTCAGAAATGAGTGACCTAGAGACCATCCCGCCATTAGTCCAATTTTTTATTTTCTATAGTTGATTGCATTTGCAAGACCTAGCCAACTCTGTTATTTATTTATCTATTTATTTATTTTTGGGGTGGACTGGCTAACTCCGTTTTCGTACGTGTTTAATCATTTTACAATTGCGCCAAGACAAGGGTAGCGTAAATAGAATGTGTCCAATAGCGCTTGCGAAAAGGAAAGTCTACCCATAACTTGAACTGGGCCGAAGATGTGGGCCGAGAAAAAAACACAACTTCTACTGGGCTCAGCCGAAGGCCCATGTTTCACATTTTTCACCTCAGGAGAACGAAAATTGGAAAGAAAATCGTTAAAAAATAATTATAAAAAAAAAAACGATCCGCCGCGGTAGCGAACGGTTTCGGGGGATTTGAACCCGACGTGAATCGAACACGCAACCTTCTGATCTGGAGTCAGACGCGCTACCATTGCGCCACGGATCCGCTTGATGTACCTCGGTGCCATCAAATATTATATAACAAAACTTCCAAGCACTTGGTCCTCCCATTCTGTACATGATAATAATGAAATCTGTATGGACTTTCTTTATGGGATGATTGCTATTTTCGTATATGATTCATCAAGTTAAAGAAAAAAGGTGAAGAGATAGGCGGTTTGATTTAGACGAAACTACATGGATTTTATTATTATATGCTTTTGAGTTGTGGCGTGGTCCATGCTGATTAGTCTAAAGCATGCCAAAGTATATTATGACGTTTAACCCTACCAAGATGATTGGCTTAGTGATTAAGGTGCTGCTTGTCTCTTCATGCATTCCATTCATGTCGCGAGAGACCCTCTAGAAGGCTCGAGTCGCGTTACCTAGATGCGGCATGTCTCGGGTGGAGAAATTTCAGACCTGGCCCAAAGAAATCTCTAGTCCTAGTCGCCCTTCCTCGTCATTCTACCAATAGAAAGGAATTATCTAAGTGGTGTATATTATGTCCCTCTAGTTGATGTTGTTGCTGTTGCTGGTCGTTTTACTGATTCTTTTGTGTGCTAATTCGGATGTTCCGCGGAACACAAACCAGAAAACCAATAGCTGTACAGACTACCGAAGTTGCACCAGAACTGCTCCCAAAGCTACTCATACCGTCGTTGATGAATAGCTTATTAGTTAGACTTACTTCATCGCTTACGTGATCGATCCGATTGTATAAGAACAAACCGTTTCCGTATATTTCGACAATGCCGTCCACTTCCGTAATCCAATGAGTGCAACTGACCCTTTTCGAATCATATGTTAAACTCCATATGAGATCAAACTGCGGTTCGATTCTTTTGCCCAGCAAGTTATTTCTGATACTTTGTTTCATTAGCCAAAGTGAAAGGACTATTCTACAAGCACTAAGCCAGTAACTTACATTGTTTCATTGATGAACACTAAGAACAGGCTTTTGCGATGATAAGACTGCACAAGAAGAGTTTCAGGCAAGAACGGCTGAGCACATAACTTCCAAATTACAGCTCAGATATGCTCTGCAGAAGCATTCTCATTGCAACTTTGGTTTCTACACAGCCAGCTAATGAGTACCCATGGGGATTTTTCTTTGGTTTTAACTATCTTTCGTCTGTTGAGATTAGAACAAACTGCAGGATCCTACGGATTGCACTTGAGGCTTTAGGATTTGCCTGATATTTGAACCGTTTTAAGTAGAAATAAATAAACCATTTTCTTCATTCTCCATTCATCAAAATAATTATACGAGTTTAAGTTTCATACAAGTTTGTCATCTAAATGATTATCAAAATTAAATGTCAGCTGAAACTTGTGGAAGTTGCCATTTCTCAATGGAAATCAGAAGTCTAAAACACTTTGAGATTGCCGTCTCTCGCAGTCGCTGGACGCCAACAATGACCCTGTCAGTATAGGATGCATCACCCCCTTGAGCTTAGCTAGGGACAATTATAGGAGGACAGGAATTGAGAATTATGAGGTTGAGAGCTTCTCCCGAAAGTGTAGGACTGTAACTTCCTGAGCATAGGCAAAGCCGACGCCGCTCGTTTTTGTTTCCATATTTCGAGCACGTTTTGCATTCAGAAACTTACATTGTGCAGCTATTGAATAAAGATGAGGAGAAGTTCAGTCTTTTAGGATTTACTTTGATTATATTATTGGGCCATTTTTCCAGCAATAAACCAACCATTAGAATCCAATCAGTACTCATCAGGAACATCGCTCAACGATGAGCCAATACAACTTATTAATTTGTAGTATTCTCAACATCCCAAAGAGACACTAAATCATGATGAGCATTGGATCTTAACAATGTGACTACGGACTGTTTTTTCGACCCTATAAAAGCAGCAAGAACTGAAAATCCACAAAACCCACGCGCGCGCACAACACTTGAAATGAAGAAATTTTCTAGCCTAATAGTATGTGCCTTGATCTTGGCTATTGCGAAGAACCCAATCTTCGCGAATGCGGGAGATCCCGACATTCTGACGGATTTCCTGGTCCCTCCAAGCCTCAATGCAAGCAATATCACTGGGCAATACTTCACATTCACCGATTTCAGGTATTTTGAAGCAAAAGCAAATCTGACGGGATGAACCACGGCCCTCATAGCCAAAGCGACACAGAAAGAATTCCCAGCCCTCGATGGGGAGAGCGTCTCCGTTGCCAAAATCATCTACCCATCTTCAGGGATCAACCCACTGCACATGCACCCGCGGTCGGCCGAGCTCCTGATCGTCCTGGAAGGCATCCTGGAGTCGGGTTTGTCGACACGGAAAACCAGCTCTTCCTGCAGACCCTCCAGGCCCACGACCTGTTCATCTTCCCAAAAGGGCTGGTCCACTTCCAGGTCAACACGAAGCCTGACTGCAAGGCCGTGGCGCTCGGGGTGTTCAGGAGCGCGAGTGCTGGGACGGTTTCAATCCCGGCTAGCGTGTTTGGGAGTGGGATCGACATGGACATCCTTGCAAAGGCTTTCCACACAGATGATCAGATCATATCCGAACTAGTACAGGCCAACAAGTAACATACTGTAGATGAGGTTCATAATCTGCAGTCTGGTCCTTTATGAAGATCTCATTCCTACCTCAAACAGAGGTGTTCAACAAGTTAAATAACATGCCGATTGGATAAAAAGAAGATGTGTAATTGTGTTGGTCCAATGATTGTAATATTTGATAAGTAAATGTCTTGAATTCTCATGACACAATCAACTGTGAATGGACAAAATCTACGAAAAGCCCTCATCCTGGAGAGAAACCAACTGCACAAAACCCCCACATGATGTCCCAAATGCCCAACAAAAAGTCCCAAGAATCCCAAGTACTACCTAGGACCTACCACAAGTCATGATCTTAAACTACAAATTATCCAGCAACAGAAAAGTCCAAAGTAGCAGCACAGCAACATCACAACAGAATTCAAACTCTACAAATACAGTGACACCTATCGCTATCCACGTATTCAAAACAAGCCGCATTTCCATTTCCCGCAATTTACTTTTAGCCTCTTCAGGAACCTGTCTCTTGCAATCCGGCACCGAAGATTCAAATGCCACTCAAGCCGAAACCTCAATGGCCGACAAATCTCTTCCGAATTCCTCGTCTTCGCACAATGGTAGATAATGGCATTCCATGCAAGTTTTAGAAAGGTTATTTTCAGGCTCCTACTTGTGGAGTCTAGGAAAGAACAGACATTGCATTGTAACTTTAAGGTCCTCATGCACGTAAGCATCTTTCAATCTGCAAAAGCAAGGCAAGAAAGGGTAGACAGTATCGGGCAATGAAGTTGTCAGTTCTCCAACTTCAAATTCACCACTAAATCACTCAACATGATAATACAGAAGCATGAATGATGAATCCAGCAAGCAGCAAAAATATTGCGCTCAAGGTTTTAGATAAATCGACATCGCCATTTGAACTGAGAAACTCTTTTTAGTGCCACATCCCTGCACTTAGGATTTGCCTAATATTTGAACCATTCTAAGTCGAAATAATAAACCACTTTCTTCATTCTCCATTCATCAAAATAGCAATACAAGTTTAAGCTTTGTACAAGTCTGTCACCTAAATGATTATCAAAATATATGTGAGCTGAAAATTGTGGAAGTTCCCACGTCTCAATGGAAATCAGAAGTATAAACACTTTTTGAGATTGCCGTTCTGGGCGATGCCGTGTCTTGCAGTCACGGGACGTCAACGATGGCACTGTCAATATCGGATGCATCACCCTTGAGCTTAGCTAGGGACAACTATAACAGGACAGGAGTGGAAAATTATGAGGATGAGAGCTTCTCGTCCAAAAGTATAGGACAGCAACTTCCTGAGCATAGGCAAAACTGATTCTGCACAATTTTTGTTTCCATATTTCAAGCACATTTCGCATTCAGAAGCTTACATTGTGCAGCTATTGAATAAAGATGAAAAGTTCAGTCTTCTAGGATTTACTTGGATCAAATTAGTCGGCCATTTTCAGTAATAAACCAAACATCAGAATCCAATCAGTTCTCATCAGGAACATTGCTCAACAATGAGCCAATATAACTCATTACTTTGCAGTATTCTCCTCAACATCCGAAAGAGAAACTAAATCACGATGAGCATTGGATCTTAACAATGCAACTATGGACTGCTTTTCGACCCTATAAAAGCAGTAAGAACTGAGTAATCCACAAAATACTCACACACACCCAACACTTATAATGGAGAAATTGTCTAGCCTGATAGCATGTGCCTTGATCTTGGCTATTGCGAAGAACCCAATCTTCGCAAATGCGGGAGATCCTGACATCTAAAGGATTTCCTGGTCCCTCCAAGCCTCAATGCGAGCACAATCACTAGGCAATACTTCACATTCACCAATTTCAGGAATTTCAAAGCAAAAGCCAATCTGACGGGACAAACCACGGCCCTCATAGACAAAGCAATACAGAAAGAATTCCCGGCCCTCAAGGGGCAGAGCGTCTCCGTGGCCAAAATCATCTACCCGCCTTCAGGTATCAAACCCCCGCACACACACCCAAAGTCAGCCGAGCTCCTGATCTTCGTGGAAGGCATCCTGGAGGTCGGGTTCATTGACACGGAAAACCAACTATTCCTGGAGACCCTCCAGGCCCACGACCTATTCATCTTCCCAAAAGGGCTGGTCCACTTCCAGGGGCCGTGGCGCTCGGGGTGTTCGGGAGCGCGAGCGCTGGGACAGTTTCACTCCTGGCTAGCGTGTTTGGGAGTGGGATCGACGTGGACATCCTCACAAAGGCTTTCCACACGGATGATCAGATCATATCCGAGCTAGCAGAGGCCAACAAGTAACATACTGTAGATGAGGTTCACAATCTGCAGTCTGTTCCTTTACGAAGATCTCATTCCTAACTAAAACAGAGGTGTTCAATAAGTTAAATAACATGCCGATTAAATTAAAAAGAAGATATGTAATCGTGTTGATTTAGTGATTTTTTTTACATTTGATATGTAAATGTCTTGTATTCGAATGACTCAATCAACTGCGAATTAACAAAATCCACGACAAGTCACCCAGATGTACCTTAAAAATGTCCCAAGTGCCGTATATAATGTCCCAAATGCCCAACAAAATGTCCCAAGAATCCCAGTACTACCTACATAAATCATGATCTTAAACTACCAATGATCCAGCAACAACAAACTCCAAAGTAGCAGCACGGTAACATCACAAGTAAATTCAAACTCTCCAAATACAGCAACATTGATGACTATCGGCATTTCCGAAATAAGCAGCATTTCGATTTCCCGCAATTTACTTTTAGCCTCTTCAGGAACCCGTCTCTTGCAATCCAGCACCGAAGATCCAAAATGCCACTCGAACCAAAAACTCGATGGCCGACAATTCTCTTCCAAATTCCTCTGTCTTCGCTCAATGGTAGATAGTGGCATTCGGCATATTCGAAACAAGCCGCATTTCCATTTCCCGCAATTTACTTTTAGCCTCTTCAGGAACCTGTCTCTTGCAATCCAGCACCGAAGATCCAAATGCCACTTGAGCCGAAAACTTGATGTCCTACAAATCTCTCCTGAATTCCTCGTCTTCGCACAATGGTAGATAATGGCACTCCATGCAAATTTTAGAAAGGTTATTTTTCAAGCTCCTACTTGTGGAGTCCAAGAAAGAACGGACATAGCGTTGGAACTTTAAGGTCCTCATGCATGTAACCATCTTTCAATCTGCAAAAGCAAAGCAAGAAAGGATAGACGTATTGGGCAACGAAGTCGTCGGTCCTCCAACTTCAAATTGACTACTAAATCACTCATCATGATCATACAGAAGCATGGATGATGAATCCAACAAGCAGCAAAAATATAATGTAAAGAAATGGGAAAAAGCGTTATTATAATTTGGAAAAAGAAAAAAAAATGATCCGTTGTTGGGGGCAGTAGCCAACATTTTCGGGGGATTTGAACCCGACGTGAATCGAACACGCAACCTTCTGATCTGGAGTCAGACGCGCTACCATTGCGCCACGGATCCACCAGATGAATTTTATTGCCATCGAATAATATATAAACAAATTTCACGACACTTGCTCCTCTCCCTTTCTACATGGAAACAATGGAATCTGTTCGGACTTTCTTTAAGGGCTGATTGCTATTTGAGTATGTGATTCGTCAAATTAAAAAAAAGAATTTGCGATGTGGCGTGACCTATGCTAATTGGCCTAAAGCATGATGCCAAAGTATGTTGTGACATTTAACACTACCGAGATGATTAGCTTAGCGATAAAGACGTTCTTTATCTTTCGCGAGCTGGATTCACATTTTGAGAGAGCTTCTATTACTGCTTTACTTAACATCATCATATCTCACGTGAAGAGATTTCATGGTTGTTGGCATCATACTGGGAGACGGGCTCGTCAACTTCGGACTTTGCAGAGGGGGTCGCTAATCCCAGTCGTCTTTCCTCACCATTTTACCAATAAAAAAACATGTGCCCTCTAATTGACGTTGTTGCTGGTCTTTTTGCCGTTTCTTTTGTGCGCTTATTCGGATGTGCTTGTGTTATGTAACGCCCCTATGAATACAAATCAGAAAACTAATAGCAGTACTGTACATATGTAGCAGCTTCATACGGGACCGACCAAATCTAGTAGTGAGAATTTTTCGAAAAAACAACCGAACTTTAAGCCGTTGGCTCTGGCACTAGAACTGCTCCCAAAGCTACTCATCCCATCGTGAATAGCTTAATTAGTTAGACTTGCTTCATCGCTTACGTGATCGATCCAACCGTATAAGACCAAACCAATTCTGCGCATTTTGACAACGCCGTCCACTTTGGTAATCCAGTGAATGCAGCCAACCCTTTTCGCATCGTAGCTTAAACCCCATATAATATCAACCGTGGTTCTATTCTTTTGCCCAGCAAATTGTTCCTGACATTTTGTTCATTAGCCAAGTGATAGGACTATTCTACAAGCAGTAACCTCCATTTTCAGTGATGAAACACTGAGAATAGGCTTTTAAGATGATAAGATTGTAAAGGAAGAGTTTCAGGCAAAAGTGACTGAGCACATAACTTCCAAGTTCCAGCTAATACATGCTCCGCAGAAGCATTCGCCTTGCAACTTTGGATTCTACACAGCCAGCAAATGAGAACCCATGGAGATTATTCTTCGGTTTTAACCATCTTTTGTCTGTTGAGATCAGAACAAACTGTACAATCCTACCTATCGCGCTTAAGGTCTTAGATAAATCGACATCGCCATTTGAACTGAGAAACTCTTTTTGGTGCCACATCCCTGCACTTAGGATTTGCCTAATCTTTGAACCATTCTAAGCGAAATAATAAACCATTTACTTCATTCTCCATTCATCGAAATAGTCATACAAGTTTAAGCTTAGTACAAGTTTGTCACCTAAATGATTATCGATCGTGTCGAATGAATCAGAGAATGTAGGGTTCCTTGTAATATGTGAGCTTAAAATTGTGAAAGTTACCATGTCTCAATGGAAAATCAGAAGTCTAACACATTTTTAGATTGTTGTTCTGGTCTATGCCGTCTCTTGCAGTCGCGGGATGTCAACAATGGCACTGTCAATATCGGATGCATCACATCCTTGAGCTTAGCTAGGGACAACTATAAGAGGACAGGAATTGAGAATTATGAGGATGAGAGCTTCTCGTCCAAAAGTATAGGACAGTAACGTCCTGAGCATAGGCAAAACCGATTCTGCTCGTTTTTTGTTTCCATATTTCAAGCACGTTTCGCATTCAGAAGCTTACATTCTGTAGCTATTGAATAAAGATGAGAAGTTCAGTCTTTTAGGATTTACCTGGATCAAATTATTTGGCCATTTCCAGCAATAAACCGACAATTAGAATCCAATCAGTTCTCATCAGGAACATCGCTCAACGATGAGCCAATGTGACTTATTAATTTGTAGTATTCTCAACATCCCAAAGAGAAACTAAATCACGATGAGCATTGGATCTTAACAATGTGACTACGGACTGCTTTTTAGACCCTATAAAAGCAGCAAGAACTGAAAATCTACAAAACACACACACACAACACTTGAAATGGAGAAATTGTCTAGCCTGATAGCATGTGCCTTGATCTTGGCTATTGCGAAGAACCCAATCTTCGCGAATACGGGAGATCCTGACATTCTGACGGAGTTCCTGGTCCCACCGAGCCTCAATGCAAGCAATATCACTAGGCAATACTTCACATTCACCAATTTCAGGTATTTCGAAGCAAAAGCCAATCTGACAGGACGAACCACGGCCCTCATAGCCAAAGCGACACTGAAAGAATTTCCGGCCCTCGAGGGGCAGAGCGTCTCTGTGGCCAAAATCATCTACCCGCCTTCGGGGATCAACCCGCCACACACACACCCGCGGTCGGCCGAGCTCCTGATCGTCCTGGAAGGCATCCTGGAGGTCGGGTTCGTCGACACGGAAAACCAGCTCTTCCTGCAGACCCTCCAGGCCCACGACCTGTTCATCTTCCCAAAAGGGCTGGTCCACTTCCAGGTCAACACGAAGCCTGACTGCAAGGCCGTGGCGCTCGGGGTGTTCGGGAGCGCGAGCGCTGGGACGGTTTCGATCCCGGCTAGCGTGTTTGGGAGTGGGATCGATGTAGACATCCTCACAAAAGCTTTCCACACGGATGATCAGATCATATCCGAGCTAGTAGAGGCCAACAAGTAACATTATAGATGAGGTTCATAATCTGCAGTCTGTTCCTTTATGAAGATCTCATTGCTACCTCAAGCAGAGGTGTTCAATAAGTAAAATAACATGCCGACTGGTATAAAAAGATGTAATCGTGTTGATCTAATCATTTTTATATTTGATAAGTAAATGTCTCGTATTCTCATGACACAATCAACTCTGAATGGACAAAGCCCACGACAAGTCCTCATCCTGCAGAGAAACCAACTGTATAAAGCCCCCAAATGTTCCTTAAAAATGTCTTAAGTGGCGTATATAATGTCCCAAATGCCCAACAAAAAGTCCCAAGAATCCCAGTACTACCTACCACAAGTCATGATCTTAAACTACCAATTATCCAGCAACAGCAAAGTCCAAAGTAGAAGAACAGAATGCAAACTCTCCAAATACAGCGACACCGATCGCTATCGGCAAATTCGAAACAAGCCGCATTTCCATTTCCCGCAATTTACTTTTGGCCTCTTCAGGAGCCTGTCTCTTGCAATGCAGCACCGAAGTCCAAATGCCACTCGAGCCGAAAACCCGATGGCCGACAAATCTCTTCCGAATTCCTCGCCTCCGCACAATGGTAGACAGCTGCATTCCATGCAAGTTTTAGAAAGGTTATTTTCAAGCTCCTAACCGTGGAGCCCTAGAAAGAACAGACATGGCATTGGAAATTTAAGGCCCTCTTGCATGTAAGCACGCATGATGACATTATTTCAATCTGCCAAAGCAAAGCAAGAGAGATAGACGTATCAGGCAACAAAGTTGTTGGTCCTGCAACTTCAAATTGACCACTAAATCACTCATGTCATGATTATACCGAAGCATGAATCCAAGGAACAGCATAAAGCAGTATCATCACAATTTGAAAAAAATTAAAAAAGACAGAGCAAAAGAATTGATCCGTTGTTGGGGGTGTGGTAGCCAACATTTTCGGGGGATTTGAACCCGACGTGAATCGAACACGCAACCTTCTGATCTGGAGTCAGACGCGCTACCATTGCGCCACGGATCCACTTAGTGTTCTACCTCTGCTTTGTTTATACTAAGATTATTAATAGTGAAACTGGGCCGATACCAATCTTTAGGTCCAAAGTCTTTGTATAATGGACTAATACTGAAGGCTTATGGAACGAGCAAAGCCTGGCCCATATTGTGAATGGTCCCTTTGCCTACCACGCTGGACGAGAGCATGCACTGACCGGTGAGGTTTCTAAACTCATGACGAGACTTCTTTTTTACTTCATCAGGGAGTTCGAAGTGTGAGAGATCTTCACCTTCATGACAGTAAACTCCGTATAAAAACAATGTTGAGCATGTCCAGAAGACTCTATAGGGTCTCTTCTTTGTATTTCGAATCTTTTGATACTTTTATATGATTTTCTTTTCCAACTACGGTGCTTGATAACACATGAAAAATCATCAATCCTCATCGGACTAAAGGTGGGTTTCTCGTCACAAATTGCCCCTTCCTCTTCCTTTCACTTGGACAGCTCGGTTGTCCGTACGGTGGAAACAGGTATCTTTTGGCACAAGTTTAAATATTGTATTAAAGTGACATGGGGCCAACTTGGTTCCATGGTGTAGTGGTTAGCACTCTGGACTTTGAATCCAGCGACCTGGGTTCGACTCCCGGTGGGACCTGCAGGTTTTGTTGCAAGTATCATTCACCTTGTTTTTCCCTTTTTCAACTCATAGCAATTAATGAATAGAGAGATCTTTAACTATTGATAAATCGACGGTGATCTCGCATTTACAAGATGTTCATTGAGAGTGGACACAATACCTTCCTGTGACTAAGATCTTTTCATGACTTTTGATATATCTATTAATGTTAGAGTAGCTACTGTCATATCAGACCGAGGATAGCATAGTCAGACTTAAGAATTTGGTTCAAATTCAAACCGCTTTACATGAGACTATTTATCTTAATTCAGAGCAAGTTAGGAATGCTTCTTCTTCAAGGACTTTCGCTGTTACTTTGCCTTAGAGTAAGATGAGGTCCTATGCTCCTAAGGTCCGTTGTCACAAGTTGATTATGGTTCACCCTAACATTTCAAAACTTAAATAGTTTTATTTGTGGGCTTGCCATCTTGAACAGGTTTGCTTACGAGGGATGGGATTAAGAAGTGGAATCCTTCTTTAAAAGTATGTTGGTTCCTTTCCTGAGTATAGGAATCAAATATCTGCCGAATTTTTCTGAGCTATGCAATGGCCTTAGCTCATCTTGGAAGGGGAAAGCTACCAAGAGTGCCAATTTTGACCTAACTTGGTTTGCAACCATGTATTACATTTGGCCTCCAAGAGACAGTAAACTTCACGAGGCTGATTTCATTATTTCTAGCACTATTTTCACCCCGAGAAAATCAATGTTCAAAATCCGTTTTCAATTTAACAAATTTCAAAGGAAAGCATTATTCTCACGAACGTTCATATTACAATGATATACAATGGCACCCCTGAAAATGTTGCCTGAATGGAATGCCAGAAGAAGATTTAAATAAACAATGAAGAATACAATTCACCAATCGTTAATTCTACAACAACAGAACCCAAATCTAATGGTACAAAGACAATTAAATAACGGAGTGTGCATTGTTACCGCTGCTTGAGTAGATAGCTCGATGCCATTAAAGATTCACAATAAGGTTGGATACTTGGCATCTAGGAATTCTCTAAGAGTCCGAGCAACTTTCTGCCCGCCCATCAGTTCAGCTAAGCGATCCACGGGAAGAAGGGCGAGTTCCGCCAAGCTTTTACATCCATCCATTATGGCTCTATAATTTGAATCCGTCACACCCGGTAGACGTCTCAAGAATTCCACAGCAGATGTATTGTAGTTTTCAGCTCTGCATACAAGAATGTAAAGCAGAGTAGTTTCACCAGCTGATTCAGCTTTCTTTAGAGAAGAGTGGACAGAGAAACACAAATCTCGTGGTCGGAAACCTAATGACTTCTTGGAGCTTAGCAATTAGAAATGCATACCTCACATCATTTTCCACAATACCCTCTTCTGAGGGGACGCCAACTCTAATTGCCTTCGTCTCATCAGGTTCATCTTGATTTGCTTTCAAAGAGAAGAAAATTTCAGCAGTAGCATGAAGACTGCGTGACCAGATTATTCGCAAGCGCGGGAAATGCAAAGAGAGCAAGGATAACTTGGATATGATGCTATTGGGAGTTACGTCATCACCAATGTCACTTGCAGACTGCAAAACAATCAGGATGAGTCAGACCAGCCAAATATCAAATACCACACTTCCTATAGTTTTAGTAAAGTTACCTGAAAAGAGAAGCTCTTGTCTTGTGAAAATTCAATGAGAAGAACAGGTATTCTATAATAGCGCGCCATTGTTTCCACCTGGTGGAAGAGGCGACCTGACGTGAAGCTCGAAAAGAGATCTTGGATACTCTTTCTTTCTACACAAATCAAAGGTGAGAGTATATAATCTCCAACCTCCAAAGTAACAGGTATTATACGCATGCCTTTCTGGTGAAGGACATTTGGCAGGCTGCTCATGAACTCCCTCATATCCACGATAACCTGAAATATTACCAGTTCAATTTCAATCAACTGCCAGGGAGTAGCTGCCAGAGATGCTAGAAGAGGAAGAATGGAACCTGCATCTCTCTCTCAGCTTCTTTTCTCCCGCCAGCCTTTCTCGTTATAGAATTTTGGGAAGATGAAGCTTGTTGCTCCATGGAAGCATTCAGTCCAAGGGAGTGACCATCCTGAGGGAACCCACGATTAAAACAAAAGCCATAATGTCCTTACATTAAGAAAACATGGATACATCAGGTTCAAAACAGCAGGGAATTAGTGACAGTAAAATAATTTTTGGGAGATCTCCAAATATGCAAATCAACTACTAAACCTGCAAATTCATTAATATTGAGGATTAGAGAGAAATCATTTCATATGGATCAAGGATGAGTGAGAAATGAAAATTATGGAACCTGATCAACTGGTATCATCATCATTGATTTCTGCCTGATCAAAGATTCAAATGCTCCATTTTCTCTACGGATACTAGCCTCAAATTTCTGAACTTCAGTAGACTCCTCATAGAAAAGAAAGTATATTTTTAACCTTTTGGAGGGATTCTCAGCTTTGTAGACTTCAATCTCCCTGACAAAAGTCATGTCTGGGTGGTACACAATTATCACAGACGGCTTCAAGATATCCAATATCGGCTGCTCACTTTCTAAAGCATGAAAATGCAGAGGAGGCAGTGGCTTCACACTTCTGGATTCTGACCAGTCAGACTCCTTCTGGAGAACTGCTCTGTCTACAGAATGACCAGAGATGTTACCTTCACAATAACCACCAGATACCAATCCATCTGTTAAATGTTCATCTTCAGAAGCAGGTACTGCTTGATTACCATCTGTCACAACTTTCTTCCTACCACTGCTGCTTCTATGCCGAGAGCTCTTAGCATTTACTCTTCCTTTCTTATTTTTATCTTTTGTTCCATTGCTACGTCCTTCATCACCAACATGAGGCTGGCTACAGTCCCCGGGCTTTTCCAGCTTAGCTCTATTTCTCATTTCTGATACTGCGGCCAAAAGTGCATCGTGTTCCTGCTTACTAGTACTGCTAACTTCTGCAGTTGGTGTAGTTGTTACATGAAGAGTTCCATCAAGAATGCCAAAACCTTTAGGAACTTTAGGTTTCTTCTTGTAACGTGTTTGTGCATCACGCAGTTCAACTTTGCTGAGCAAGTACTTCTCCCACACTTCTCGCATCACCTTTATATGTAATAAAAAATACCAATTACGAACCTACAAGTGATGAATGCTTATTCACAACGAATATGAGGTTAAAACAGGTTCGAAAAGTGTTCCCTCCAATCACATGAATGCAGCAATCTCTCTCCAAGCATCTCTACAATTAAATATCTTCCTCCACCTTCCGAAATTTCATCTACCATTTGCATGAACAAGTATATACATACACTACCATGAATTTGGTCAACTAAAAGTTTTTTCTTTTTTATCACAATTGCACGAACATGTGTCAATAAAATGTGCGCTTGTGTGCCAGTATGATGCTTCTCAACTATGGTAGAAGAATATCCATTTTCACTTTCTTCAAGGTCAATCACAACTATTCAGTGGGTTCCAGAGGATAAAGCAGTCACACAGATAGCACCAACCAGAAGTGCTACTTAGATGCATCTGGAG